AAATTTATAGCACTAAATGCCCACATCAGAAATCAGGGAAGATCTAAAATCAATACCCTAACATCACAGTTAAAAGAACAAGAGAAGCAAGAACAAACAAATTCAAAAGTGAGCAGAAGACAAGAAATAACTAAGATCAGAGCAGAACTGAAGGAGATAGATACATGAAAAACCCTTCAAAAAAAAATCAATGAATTCAAGAGCCAGTTTTTTGAAAAGAATAAGAAAATAGATAGAACACTAGCCAGACTATTAAAGAAGAAAAGAGAGAAGAATCAAATAGATGCAATAAAAAATGATAAAGGGGATATCACCACTGATCCCACAGAAATACAAACTACCATCAGAGAATACTATAAACACCTCTATGCAAATAAACTAGAAAACCTAGAAGAAATGGATAAATTCGTGGACACATACACCATCCCAAGACTAAATCAGGAAGAAGTCGAATCTCTGAAGAGACAAATAACAAGTTCTGAAATTTAGGCAGTAATTAATAGCCTACCAACCAACCAAACAAACAAAAAAAGCCCAGAACCAGACGGATTCACAACCAAATTCTACCAGAGGTACCCAAGAGGAGCTGGTAACATTCCTTCTGAAACTATTCTAAACAATAGAAACATGGGGACTCCTCCCTAACACATTTTATGAGGCCAGCATCATCCTGATACCAAAACTCGGCAGAGACACAACAAAAAAAGATTTCAGGCCAATATCCCTGATGAACATCGATGTGAAAATCCTCAGTAAAATACTAGCAAACAAAAGCAGGCAGCACATAAAAAGCTTATCCACCACGATCAAGTCAGCTTCATCCCTGAGATGCAAGGCTGGTTCAACATATGCAAATCAATAAACATAATCCATCACATAAACAGAACCAATGACAAAAGCCACATGATTATCTCAATAGATGCAGAAAAGGCCTTTGATAAAATTCAACACCCCTTAATGCTAAAAGCACTCAATAAACTGGGTATTGATAAACATATCTCAAAACAATAAGAACCATCAGTAACAAACTCATAGCCAATATCATACTGAATAGGCAAAAGCTAGAAGTATTCCCTTTGACAACTGGTACAAGACAAAGATGCCCTCTCTCACCACTCCTATTTAACAACATATTGGAAGTTCTCGCCAGGGAAATCAGGCAAGAGAAAAAAATAAAGGGCATTCAAATAGGAATAGAGGAAGTCAACTTCTCTCTGTTTGCAGATGACATGATTGCATATTTAGAAAACCCTGACTCAGCCCAAAAACTCCTCAAGCTGATAAGCAACTTCAGCAAACTCTCAGGATACGAAATTAATTTGCAAAAATCACTAGCATTCGTATACACCAATGATAGAGAGCCCAATCATGAGTGAACTCACATTCACAATTGCTACAAAGAAAATAAAATACCTAGGAATCAAACTTAAAAAGGATGTGAAGGACCTCTTCAAGGAGAACTACAAACCACTGCTCAAGGAAATAGGAGAGGACACAAACAAATGGAAAAACATTCCATGTTCATGGATAGGAAGAATCAATATCATGAAAATGGCAATACTGCCCAAATTAATTTATAGATTCAATACTATTCCCATTAAGCTACCATTGACTTTCTTCATAGAACTATTAAAAACTACATTAAATTTCACATGGAACCAAAAAAGAGTCTGTATAGCCAAGAAAATGCTAAGCAAAAAAGAACAAAGCTGGAGGCATCATGCTACCTGACTTCAAACTATACTACAAGGCTATAGTAACCAAAACAGCAAGGTACTGGCACAAAAACAGATATATAAACCAGTGGAACAGAACAGAGGCTTCAGAAATAACACAAAACACCTACAATCATCTGATCTTTGACAAACCTGACAAAAACAAGCAATGGAAAAAGGATTCCCTATTTAATAAATGGTGCTGGGAAAAATGGCTAGGCATATGCAGAAAAGTGAAACTGGACCCCTTACTTAAGCCTTATACAAAAATTAACTCAAGATGGGTTAAAGACTTAAATGGAAGATCTAAAACCACAAAATCCCTAGAAGAAAACCTAGGCAATACCGTTCAGGACATAGGTATGGGCAAAGACTTCATGACTAAAACAACAAAAGCAATGGCAACAAAAGTCAAAATTGACAAATGGGATCTAATTAAACTAAAGAGCTTCTGTGCGGCAAAGGAAACTATCATCAGAGTGAACAGGCAACCTACAGAATGGAAGAAAATTTTTTCAGTCTATCTTTCTGACAAAGGTCTAATATCCAGAATCTACAAGGAACTTGAACAAATTTACAAGAAAAAACAAACAACCTCATCAAAAAGTAGGCAAAGGATATGAACAGACACTACTCAAAAGAAAACATTTATGTGGCCAACAAGCATATGAAAAAAGCTCATCACCACTGGTCATAAGAGAAATATAAATTAAAACCACAATGAGATACTATCTCATACCACTTAGAATGGCGATCACTAACAAGTCAGGAAACAACAGATGCTGGAGAGGATCTGGAGAAAAAGAAACGCTTTTACACTGTTGGTGGGAGTGTAAATTAGTTCAACCATTGTGGAAGACAGTGTGGAGATTCCTCAAGGATCTAGAACCAGAAATACCATTTGACCCAGCAATTGCATTACTGGGTATACACCCAAAGGATTATAAATCATTCTACTATAAACACATGCACGCATATGTTTATTGCAGCACTATTCACAATAGCAAAGAGTTGGAACCAACCCAAATGCCCATCAATGGTTGCCTGGATAAAGAAAATGTGGCACATATACACCACGGAATACTATAGAGCCATAAAAAGGAATGAGTTCATGTCCTTTGTGGGGACATGAATAAAGCTAGAAACCATCATTCTTAGCAAACTAACACAGGAACAGAAAACCAACTGTTTTCTGTTCTCAACATACTGGTGAGAACCGGTAGGTTCTCACTCATAAGTGGGAGTTGAACGACGGGAACCCATGGACACAGGGAGGGGAACGTCACACACCTGGGCCTGTCAGGGGTTGGGGACAAGGGAAGGGAGGGCATTAGGACAAATACCTAATGCATGAGGGGCTTAAAACCAAGAAGATGGGTTTTAAAACCACCATGGCACATATATACCTATATAACAAGCCTGCAAGTTTTACATATGTATCCCGGAACTTAAAGTATAATAATACATTTTAAAAATCAGACTATTGAGGAGGAAAAAAATGTGAGTTTCGTGAGTGTCCACAGAAACTTGCAATCCCATCATCATAAGATTATGCCAGAGTGCAGGGGGTCATGAGCAAAGAGAGGCCAAGAGGTTTCTGGGAGTAAAGATTCTTCCCATGGAGGGTCTTTTCTGGACCTACCACTAGAGGTCAGGAAAAACTAACCTACATAGGCAGACAAGCCTTGAAGGCCAACATTGTAGATGAGTCTGTTTAGTAGTGGTTTAAAAATCATGTATTGAGGTGCTATGTAGGAAAATTTCTGACATTCTGAATAATTAAAATTGTGAACAGCAAAAGAAATGAATACTTTCATTTATCTTCACTTTATTAATAATATAAACATGGAAGAAATACAATTTATGTACTTAAGAATAAAGATCTGTTTACAATTGGCACCAATAAAAAAATAAAAGCTTGAAAAGTGGGAAAAGGTCACACTAATTACACTCAGAAGCTGGGTTTCAATATATTGATTAAGCCAAAAATATATCGAAGGCAATTTAAAAATAGTGAGCAAGTTTTTCAGAATGAAATTTCTATCTACTTCTAAAGTCTTACTATTTAAAATTATATTCAATCATAATTTCTCCAAAAATCAGTGAATTACGGTTTTGGCTAAAGACAATATCTTACTTCTTTAAATCCTTCCCAAATCTTGCAATTATATCTGAAATTTAATGATGTATTTAATTACATTATAAATCCACTATCATAATTGCTTACCTATTATGTGTTATTATGCTAGATGCTGGGTTAATAGAAATAGAATTCAGACATGAATCTTCAGTATCAATTATCTCAGCATTTAATGGAAGTGAGAGTCACATACACAATAGACTATAGTAATATATAAATTGCAATTATTTTTCACAATAAATCTATAAAGTTTTATTCAATCAAAAAAGGCTACTTTGAGTTAATATTGTCTCCATACTACTCTTTGAAAAATCAAAATATTTTATTCTCTTATCTCCCATAAATACAGTAGCAAAATGACCTTTAGTCCTGAGACATAAGACAGCTACTATTTGATGGACTATAAGACGTCAGGTGTGAATATTGTACTAGAATATTTGAGTGAAGTAATTGTAGAGAAATCCTCTGGGCAGGAAAAGAATAAGAGGGAAACAGTAAATGCCTAGAGAAAATGGAAGAAAGAAGATAAATCCTATGGGGAACAAAATAAAAATAAAGAGGAAATAAACTTCATATACACTACCCAGGTTTGCCTAAATCCATTTTTTGTTTTCAAGGAATATAATTTGAATCATCAGTCAACTGAAACTAATTTTTATTTCAGATGTTTTAAAATTATTGGTAAAAATTTTCTGGCTGGGCACAGTGGTTCATGAATGTAATCCCAGCACTTTGGGAGGCAGACGTGGTGGATCACTTGAGGTCAGGAGTTTGAGACCAGCCTGGCCAACATGGCGAAACCCCAGCACTACTAAAAATACAAAATTTAGCCAGGCATGGTGGCAAGTGCCTGTAGTCCCAGCTACTTGGGGAGCTGAGGCAGGAGAAAGGCTTGAAGCAGAGGAGGAGGTTACAGTGAGCAGAGATCACGCCACTGCACTGCAGCCTTGGTGACAAAATGACACCTGGTTTCAAAAAAAAAAGAAAAAAAGAAAAAGAAATCATGTTATATTCTTCCAAAATTTGTAGAAATTTAAAATTATTTGTTATTTCTAAATATCAACTTTTTATAAAATGCTTATTACTATATGTAGACAGTGACACTTAAAAATATTACTCATCCAAGTTAAAAACAATCTACTTACAATTCTCTGACATTTTTGAAGAGAAATATTCCAAAAGACTTAAAATACTTGCTTCCTTTAATTCTGGAGGGACTGATTTGTCCAAGCGTAAAATATTTTTTCGTGAACTTTTACATTGACAGAAACCAATTAGAGCAGTTTTTCGCAAATCAGAAGTGGCTGCATACAAGCAGATTTCTGCAAGAATTACTGTATATATGTAGACTACATTCCAGGCCCAGGAAAAATCATCTACCTTGTAACTTTCTCCCTGAAATAAAATAGATATCCGATCATCAAAGTATGTCTTTGCATATCAATAACTATATAGTGTACTTATAATAATTGTTAAAAGAGCATAATAAACTAATATTTCTAAATGTGTTCATTAAAAAATGAGTTTACCATGAGTAGATTGCATAAAACACGGTTCAAAGAATAAAAAATATAGATAGCTAATAATTATATAAAGAGCAACTTCACAATTTAATTAGCAGTCAATGGAATGTAAATCAATTCAATGAGATACTATTTTCCATATCATATTCAAAAGGAACCTTTTGATGTACAGCTCAATTCTAATGTGTGACACTTTCATTTATTGTTCATAGGAATGCAAGAAAGTTATTAATATATCTTATGGAGAAAAGTTTGGACATCTTGCCCAAAAACTTTGAAAGAAACTTCACAGTCTTTCACTTGGTAATTTAATTTTATTAGCCTACTGTAAAGAAATAGAAGTGTTGATAGAGATTTTATGTATGAGAATAACAATTCAACATTACTTATAATTAACTGTGAACAAGTAGAAACAAATTTAATAACCAACAATACAGAAATGTTTCAATAAGTGATCTTACCCCAACCAAATTATAAATTTTAATATTAGGTAATGAAAATGAAAACTGTTTATGATAAATGGTAACTGTGAATTTGCTTTTATATTTAATTAAATTTATTAGTATAAAGTTATGCATATTATATGCCCTAATACAATATACAATTTAAATAGTGGCAAAAATAAAATCTGTTTCTCTTCGGTTCTCTTTTCACATATAAATTAGCAATGTTACCTGATTTTGAACAGACATAATGCTTGAAACAAAATCTCTCACTATGTCCATTAAAGCTTTCAAGCAGGCCATGTTTAATTTGGCAGCCTCCCCAAGGACCAGTAAAGCCAGTACTGAATCCAACCTGAAAATTTTATGGACGAAAGGATAAAGACTGTAATGGAAAATAATAATAATCAACTTTTTAATGTAAAAAAAGGTAATAGGTCAGAGGAAATGCATGTCTGGATTACAAGATATATTTATTTTCAATAAAGATTAGTATTGGTTCTCACTTATTATGGTAAAAATCTTCAAAGAAGAGACACATTTTGGTAATATGTTTGAGTTCAGAGTAGTGCTCTGACAAATCTGAGTAAGAAGTACTACATATAATCACATTTCTTCATAGATCCTGAACAACAGGCAATCAGGGGCTCTGGTTGTAGAGTACCCCCAAAAACTCACAATAGGTTTTAATGTTTAACCTCTTGCAACTGATTCCACAAGGTGAATTTCAAGAGCGTGTTTTCTTCTCAAAACAGAGCAATTTTTTAAAAACCGCCTTCTTCTAAGATACTCCAAAGATTCAACACTCTTTGATTTTGGAAAAAGTACAATTTCTCAAAATAAAATTTATATTTCACATGAACAGAAGACTAAGTATTATTTTTTAAATATTAAAAAAACTGGGAAATCACACAAGAATTTATTAGTTATAAATGTACATATATTTTGAATGTTTTGAAAATTATATATTTGTGATATTTTTATTTAAACAAAAACTAGTTTGAAAAAGAACTGATAAGAGCTCAAATTAAAAATTACTTTGGTCTATAGCTGTTTACTGTCTTGATTTGTAGGCCATTAATAAATTTAAAAGTTAGTATATTTTACAAGATTATTTGAATTTCACAACTGTGATATTTCAGGCCCATAAGTTCAAGGTCATCATCATTTTCTAAATCAAACCATTCTTATCATGAAAATCAAAGACAATTCTTTATATTAAATAGGGCTTTACAGATATCAATGTGCTTTCACATAAATTATTTCATTTGATTCGAAAAACAATTTTTGACACATTTAAGATTTCTCTAGACCTTTTTTCATACTAGACAACTGAGACATAAATAGGTCCGAAGGACTTGTCCAAGTTCCCTTTTTAAACTAGATTAGTTGTAACTCAAGTTTTCTCCTACCAAGAAGTATTTTCTGTCTTGCAATTCTGCTTTTCTAAACCATTACATAAACGTCAATATTTAATCTTAGTGTGGCAGGTGCTGCCTATTGTCCTCCCTAATACTAGTTGTCTCCTTTTCTAATGGAACATGCATTTTGTTCAGAATGGCAATATGCTCAATTAAGTTAGCCCCCTCAAGATGGAATTCTCTGTATCTTGATTGGAGTAGTGATTACATGAGTGTATACATTTCCCCAGGGTCATAGACCTATGTACATAAATGTATGACGTTCATTGTATCTAATTTATATTTCAGTAAGTTTGATTTAAAATTGACTGCCTAGACTCCCTTGAAGCTTAGAATAGCCATACAGTGTAGATTTGGTTAATTAGCTAGAAAAGGAAGCATATTATGAAGACTTCCAGGCAAGCTATTATTTTTCTGGTTAAGAAAAAAAAAAATTTAATTAAATAACAGGTGTTATTTTTCTCCTTTGCTCATCCTCTTCTTCCTGCTTGTAGTGCATATATTCCATGGTATCATAAGGCACAGCAGCCTTCTTTCAACAAGGAGGATAAAAATCACCTGCTATAAAGACAGAAAAGGAAGCTAGAAGAAGCTTGGGTCTTGAAGATTTCCTTAAGTACTCACATCAGCACTGCACTACTTGTCATGTGCAATAAAGAAAGCTCTGTTTGGTTATGCAATTGTAGTCAGGTTTCTGCCAAATAAAGAAGACGAAATCCTAATTGACGCACTTAACATGATGCTTATGAACATGAACTTTAGAGTCAGAAACATCAAGATGAAATCTTAGCTCTGCCACTAATTAGGCATATGTTATAGGGCAACTTATGTATCCTACCTCGTCTTAATTTACTTGTCTATAAAGAAAATACAGTAAAACTCACTTTTTAGAGATTATTGTGAGATTTGAATGAAATACTCCATGTAAAACGTCAAGATTCAGAATGCTAAATTGAATTCAATTACAAACATACTATTTCTTTGACATAAAAAAGATATGAGTTTGATAACTTTCTCATTAAAGTCATAGAGTGACTGGAAGGAGAAGTCCATCCAGATGACCACCAAGAGGGAAACTAAGTCATTCCCCAGACTACTTATCATTTATACTTCATATTATGGTCAATTAAAAGAGAGGATACTCATAGAGTTCATAAAACTTCTTTTCCCTTGAATATACTTCATAATCAGAAGGTTTTGATTCTTCTTTTCTCTTTTAAGTCTGGAAAATTGTAGCTAACCTAGGATTGAACTATAGATTGAAAAAGATCCATCAGTGTTAGCCACCTATGGTAGAGAAATGCTTCACTAGAAACACACTATTTTCAATTAATGCTGCTGATCACAAAATTGTCTGTGAATGAAAATGCTTTCATCAAAAACAAACATCAATACTTATAAAGTACAGTTTGTCAAAAACAAAAGTAAAATTGAAAATCAATGCACATAGAATGGAATTCAAATTGGATTAGGCTAGAAATTTCCATACAGCACTAGCTTCTTTGTGAATTCATTATAATACAGAAAGTCTCAAGTATCAGCATATTGACCTGGTTTTACATTGCCGTGAAATTAAAGTTGTACAAAATAATATGCAACTATTATAGATTTGCTCTAATTTTGTAAATAAGAAACTGAGCCAGAGTTTTACTGGCTTGTCTAAAATAATGATATATACATACACACATGCACACATTTGTAGAAGTTAGAAATATCAGCATTTAAAAGTTTTCCTAGATTCTTCTTACTCCTCTATATCCATTTCCTCAATTAGAAGATTTTAATGTTTAAATGGAATTAAAATATCTAAGTAGCAACCCTTGCCAACTTATTTCAACATTGCAACAGATATTCCAGAAAGCACTGACAATGTCAAAAATCCACATGATCCCGAAAACAGAATGAGACATCACTAATAATAGCAACTTACAAGGAATTTCCATAAACCATAAAGCTGATGAAACCAAAGCAATAAGGAGCAACCACATGCCACTTCTGGAAATACAGCAACCTTGTTTTCCCAAGAAAAGTAAGAGAAGAAAACATTTTTAAAAAATAATAATCTCTACTGTTTACCCTGTTTTGCATAGAATCAGAGAAAGTGCAGCCAATCCTTTATCTTGAGATACTGATTTTTTTTTTAAGCAGTGAGAGTATTATTCCTGGGTTCATTCTCATCTCTCCATATTTATTCAGAGATGATAACATCCTGGTAATGAAAAGGGTAGTATACAGTGCCTATACACGTGTAGGATGGGAGAAGGCAGGAGGGAGGACGATAAAATTGGAATACAGAAGTGCATTTTTTCCTCACAGGTAAACTATCAAAGAGTAAGGAGAACACAGGAAGCTCCCTGATCATTTTACACATTGAGTGTTGTAATTTTTACCAACTTTGTTATGAATGCTGTGAATACAGACCTCTCATTTAAAAATATTGTTTTTATATATTTCTCCTGGTTCTAGAATAAGTAACTGGAAAGTGAAGAAGAGGGACCTATACAAGACCGAGGAAAATAGATTACAGCAAAGGCTAAAGAGAATATTAGTCTCAGTACTCAGAGAGGGTCATAATTCTGAAAATGATTTCTTACAGGAACTAGAAGTTATTTTTACAAAACATGTAGGCATATTTAATAAAGCCCAGGAATAATAAACCACAATAAAAAGCCTTGATGCTTAGATGAAAGGTAGTACAGTAAGATAACAGATTGCAAAGAATTTAAAATGTAAAAATATAATTAAAATCTATAGTTGAGGAAGTTAACTACAGAAATAACAGAGAAAAGTATTTCATAATTTAGAGGAAAATGTGGAAAGCATACCTATTACTATCTAAGTACAGAAGGAAGGAAGGAAGGAAGGAAGGAAGGAAGGAAGGAAGGAAGGAAGGAA